TATACACATATAATATATCTATTAAAAATAATATGTATATGTATATGTATTAGTTATACATGTAACATATATATATACAACTAATATGCATATTAAAAGAAAAGTAATTATAAATAATATATACACTATATATTAAAAAATAATATATATACAATATATATTAACAAATAATATATATATATATATATTATTTTTAATGTAATTTATAATATATATATATATATATGTATATTTTAGTAGTTATAAGTAATTTTATATGTAATATATATATATGTGTGAATTTATATGTATATAAATTAATTTAAATAAATTATGTAATTTATTTTTGTTTGAAATGATGATGTGTCATAATTTTGATGATGTGTACATAACTTGGAAGCTAAGTCATTGCCACATCATCATTTTTTTTGAGTTGGCAGTCGCGGGGGATTTTCGGTGAATTATTAACAAGTTTGGGGTTTTATTGGTTAATCATACCAAGTATAGGGTTTAATTGGTAAGCAAAAAAGTACAGGGTTTTTTCGTTGACCTGGGAAAAGTACAGGGTTTTTATGGCGATATCCCCTTTATATTTTATAAAGATGATGTCTATTTAACATTTTACAAATTCAGTTCAATATCAATTTGATTTTTAATTAATAAAATGTTTATTTAAAAAAACACGTTTTTTTATTTTGTTACGAAGTTTTGATTATTATTATAGTCGATTCATTAATTAGATATAAAAAAATCATATCCAATTGATTTTTAGATCGGATTTATTTTGGGTATAGTTATATGGTGTTCTATCGGTTTTATATATAGATACATATCTCAAAACGCATCCGGCAGAGGCATCAAAATTTTTACCAAACAGAGACGGATTTGAGTACATTCGTGTCCGAAAGTTCGATTTTCTCAAGACAAAAGCATCGAATTCAAGATTGTGAAAACTAGGGGTGGACGTTTCGATTCGGTTCTGAAACCGTTCTAAATTTCTGAATGATATTAATCGAATTTTTTGGAACCGAATTGAATTTTAAAAAATCCCTAAAAACGGAAAATTTATAAAGGAAAACTTACTTTTTTTTTAATAAAACCGGAACCGAAATCTAAGCTAACCGAACATAATATAAAAACTGATTGGTATCTATATTTGTACGCTAGTCCATGTGACAATCTCATGCGGATCATTCCAGTATTCCGTTCTCCAACAAATACCTATGATTGTTCATAACAAAACATGGATTTCATAACATATTAAAGTATGTATAATATATAATGAATCAAACACTCATCTATATAACTATAGTAAGTGTCAATACATCAAATGTATCAAAATAAAGCTCATATAGCAGTACATCATAGAGCACTAAACCAACAATCTCCCACTTGTTCTACTCATGGACTACTAAACATCTAACGCCCATATCTCTAACTATGGGTGTAAAATGGGCGGGTCGGGTCGGGTTCGGGTCGAACTTAGTTCGAGCTTAGATTTTTTCGGGCCATGCCGGCCCGCCCATTTATTTTTCGGGCCTATAATCGGTGGTCCGGAGCCCGACCCTATAGGGCTACGGACGGATTCGGGCCGGTTTCGGGTTTTTTCTATTTAATAAAAAATAAATATTAATATATAATAATAATAATAATAATAATAATGATGGATATCGGTTAGTAAAAAGATAGAATTTAAAAATCAAAGTTAAACTCATAAAATATATATAAATATAAATATATATATATATATATATATATAAATTAATTAAACCAAAATCTAATCAAACTGTTTAATAATATATATATATATATATATATAATATAAGTTTAATATATATTAATCAAATTGCTTTGAAATATAAATATATATATATATAACATACAAATAAAAGTTTTTATATAATGTTGTGTGGTATTAAATCTCAAATGAAAGTAAAAATCTAATAATATAATATTTTTTCGGGTTAAATGGGCGGGCCGGATAGGTTTTGGGCCGGACTCGATTCGGTCTTAACTTTACGGCCCGCCCATTTATTTACGGGGCCTATATTATTAGGCCCAAGCTCTTAATTTTTTGGGCGAATTTCGGACCGGGCTTCGGGTTCTATTGACACCCCTGTCCCTAACATGACTCTCATGCTTCGACGAAGGGAAAGGCTTTGTCAACGGATCGACAATGTTGTCATTTGTCGATACTCTATAAATGTGCATGTCTTCTCTATCTATGATCTCCCTGATGAGGTGAAATCGTCTGAGCATGTGTTTGGATTGTTAATGGGACCTGGGTTCCTTTGCTTGTGCGATTGCACCATTGTTATCGCAATACAGAACAATGGGACTATGAGCACTAGGAATGATACCCAAGCCGCCAACAAACTTTCTGATCCAAACAACTTCCTTTGCTGCGTCCGACACTGCTATATACTCTGCTTCTGTAGTAGAATCTGCAACGGTTGCTTGCTTAGAACTTTTCCAACTTACAGCGCCTCCGTTTAAGCAGAAAACATAGCCAAACTGCGATCTGTAGTCATCCGGGTTGATTGGAAACTAGCATCGGTGTAACCACTTACAGCGAGCTCGTCTTCCGACCCACCGTATACCAAGAACACATCCTTAGTTCTTCTCAAACACTTCAGGATGTTCTTGACGATCTAGTGTGACTCACCTGGATCTAACTGATATCTACTCGTAATGCTCAACGCATGGATACATCCGGTCGAGTACAAAGCATGACATATATGATGGATCTAATTGCCGAAGCATATGGAATCCGATCCATGCGTTCTCGCTCATCAGGTGTCGTAGGACACTGACTCTTGTATAGAACTACACCACTGCTCATCAGTAAGGTTCCTTTCTTGGAATCTTACATCTTGAACCGTTTCAAGACCTTATCGATGTAAGTACTCTGACTCAATCCCAGAAGCCGCTTTGATCTATCTCTATAGATCTTGATACCTAAAATATAGGCCTCTTCTCCTAGGTCCTTAATAGAAAACTGCGTTTTCAACCAAGACTTTACGTCTTGCAAGGTAGGAACGTAATTCCCTATCAGGAGAATGTCATCCACGTACAACAATAGGAATACTACTGTGCTCCCACTGACCTTCTTGTAAACGCATGACTCGTCCTCATTCTTAAGAAACCAAACCTTTTGATTGTCTCATCAAAGCGAAGGTTCCAGCTTCTCGAAGCCTGCTTCAGTCCATAAATGGACCTTTGAAGCTTGCACACCATCCTCGGGTTTCTTGGATCGACAAAACCTTCGGGTTGTGTCATGTACACATCCTCGGTCAAGTTCCCGTTAAGGAACGCAATCTTGACATCCATTTGCCACATCTCATAGTCGTAATATGCGGCTCTGGCAAGTAGGATCCTGATGGATTTCAGCATGACTACAGGCAAAAAGGTCTCATCATAGTCAATACCATGAATTTGACGGAATCCTTTCGCCGCAACTCGGGCCTTATACGTGTGCACGTTGCCATCCATGTCTATCTTCTTCTTGAAGATCCACTTGCATCCGATGGGTTTTATCCCTTCAGATGTTTCAACCAGAGTCCATA